TTTCTTCATCAGATTGAAATTTCATAAAACAGTGCATCTAAGGGGATTCTGCTAAAAAAAAGAACAGTTTTAAAATTAGGCTTTAATTTAAATTTCTAGAGAGAGTAGATTGCAGGTTTAAAAAATATTTTTTTCCAGTGACTTTTGCTCACAAAAATATCCTTGAAGATGGATTTCACTTCAAGCATAACCCTGAACTCCATTTGCAGAGAATTTTTGCTGTGAGAATAACTTCCTTAGATGAAATGTAAAAAAAATTGTAGATTGATGATTTAAACCTGTGAATTTGTGTTTAAAGGTTTAAAGCACCAATTCACTGGTTTACATCAATCCACAATTTTGTTTACATTTCATCTAAGGAAGTTATGCTCACAGCAAAAATTCTCTGCAAATGGATTTGGCTTTGAGCATAACCCATGCAATTCAAATTTTAATTTTCAGGTTTGAACCACAAATCCACAGGTTGAAATCATCAATGCACACATTTTTCAACATTGCATCTAGGGAACTTATGGAATAAATAAGATGAAACTTTGATTTTGAAGACAATTTTCATCTCAATATTTTTTGGAAATTTGAATTGCAGGCTTTAAAAATTATTCTGAGGCAGTTATGATCATAGCAAAAAATCTTTTCAAATGAGGGTTGCTTTGAGCATTATCTCTTAGATTTTAGGGTCATCTTTCATTATCCATTATGTGGACTCACAAAAAAATCCCATGAAATTTTGTAAAAATATATGGAAGAAAAATTGGCATGACTGCAGGGTTTCACAATGATTTCAAGCTGAACAATTAATTATTTTTACTTGAATTTTGTAATTTTATGATTTTTCATTTTGTAGAAGAAAAATTGACACATTTTTGCACAAAGAACAGGTAAGGCAAATATCCTGGCAGATAATTTTTAATGATTTTTTTCACCCTGTACATACAGCTGATCATCATTACTGTAAAGACTCTCAGCAAAATAAGCAAGTGATGGAAAAAAGGCTCAAAAGTGGAAAAACATACAATTTAAAATGACCATTAATTTGTGTGGCCACATTATGTGATCACTAATTTTCACCAGAAATGTTTTCACACAATTCTAAGCATACCACAGCATCAATAACTGAAGAGTAAAAAACTTCACTGTTAAAAAAAAAGGTGTTGCACAGTCCCAGGATGGACTGGAAACTCTTGAAAAATTAATGGTGCATGGATTTTAAAAATCTTTTTGGAGGGCACCTTCATTTTAATTCTTTGAAAGATGAAGCTGAAGAACTGCTCCCAAACATGATGTTTGGTTGAATTCTGTGGACTTGTGGGTACATTGTTTGGTTTGTTAGATTGCAAGAAATGCATCCTACAGAAGTCAGTTAGCAAGATTGCTATGAGCAGGTTTTTCTGTTTGATCATAATTTCTTTACATCCACTGGAAATGGCAGCAATTCCATGAACCCCCAGGCATCCAAACAATTCTACACATCTGGCAACTGACTTTTTGCTGGGTTCCTGGGAAGTTTTTTTCTTTTTTGTGGCAGGCAGAAAAAGCCTCTCTCCTGGGTGGATCCCATCCAGATTTTTAAGCATTTCTTCTCCTTCATCAAAGCCTCCATTTATTCAGGTTTTAATGATGAGTGAAAAAATTTTCCACATTTTTTTTGCAGTTTTCCACAAAAATGAAAAAGTTTCCTCAAAAAAGTTTGTTATAACGGAATTACCAAGTTTGTTATAATGAGATTTTTTTAACATGTGGTCTATAGGCTTTCTGCCAGGACTTGAAAAAAAGTTTGTTGTAATGAAAAATTTGTTGTAACGGTATTTGTTGTAACGAGATTTTACTGTACTTGCTTCCAGAACTCGGCAACAAAATCAGCAGCAACAAACCACTCCAAAATCTTCTCCTGTGAGTGGAAGAACTAGAAGCAGACAACACTGACCCAGTAGTGAAAACAACCCGCCAGATTAATTTCTGAGCTCTTGTTTTCAATCCCCCACTATTGGAAGAAAGTCTAGTGTTTCCCAAATTTACTAAGATCCCTAAGAAAATCATGTGGAAAGTACTGATAATTTTTTCCATCCTTCACATCTCCTTTGGAATTGAAATCCAAGAGATTGAGGAAAAAGAAAAGGGAATGATTTCCAACAGTCAAAGGTTTGACAAGGTTTCCCCACTCAGAACTTTCCCTGCAAATGTTGGGATCACACTGGAGGACATGTTTTCTATTTGTACCCCAATCAATTTTTGGACAATAGAAACTTCTATAGATATTGGAAAAATTCATACCTTGATGAACAACTTGAATGTAAAAATTCTAACAGTCATCAAGGACAGGCTAAAAACAAATACAAGTTCTCCCACAACTATTAAATTAGCATACAATCTTTTGCAAGACAAAGCAAGTCAATTAACTGAAGAATTAATTAATCTTAGAATCAGAGCAAAAGAAACCTCCAAACCATTTCCTCCAGAATCCTCCTATCTAAGTCTGCTACCCATAATGAGAAGAAGAAAGAATGAGATAGATGAAATTCAGGTCCAAGAGAAAAGAGCAACAATTTCTCCACCTGCTCATTACAGGCCAAACAGCAACATATATGAAGTGGCAACTCAATTGGGAAACCAAATAAATTCCACCTTGCCAAATGATGCTGCTTCCTGGTTATATTTAACCAGTCTTGGAAAT